ATCTTCTGAAATTTTCCATGGGAATTTTCGCAAATTTGAAACAAACCAAAGAAAGGATGTCGCAGATTTCACTAATTCGGTAAATACTCTTCAGGTTTCGATAAACACAGAAGTGAAACCACATACGATTGGGAGCACTGAGATTCGTGACGTTTTCACCCCTTATTCGAGTACGAGCTGAAACTCATCGTATTCTTACACCAAAAATACCTGTGAGGAAATTCGACTGAAGGAGAGTTGTCCCAATAGACACAAAAACGGTCTGTTTACGATTGCACTTGATAATTCTATTTAAGTTTACTATTCACTGACCGGCCTCTCAACATGTGCTCTTGGAAATAATTTTATTTCTGTGACGTACCTGTCGGTGAAAAGCTTGTTTGATGAGGTGTAATCGACAGGAACACAGGAGACGGGAAAATCTAATTAGCCGTAATCAGCCAGCCATACTCAATCCCAAGTGTGGATTACACGAGATTCGAACCAGGGACTTTTTGTCACTGAGCGCAACACGGGATCGTCCTTTTGTCGATTGCGATCGGAAATATGATGAATGGTAGGGCGTTCACCAATCTGGTTAGGGGCCATGTTCATCCAGCTGTGCCTTAGATGGCTTTTCAAACAGAGCCGCTATTTTTTTCCCTCCATTCGCATGTTGATTTTCTTATATATATCTCGGTTGGCCTACTTGGCCCATGATAAACCGATTATTATCCGTCATTTTTATTTGAACTACAATGAGGTAATGAGTATACGAGGTCACGACCCTAGCGCCGTTTTGAAGGCAGCCCAATTTGGCCATTATTTAATGGCTTTTCCAAGGGCATTCATCTACGATGTCGAAAACTGCAGTAATTGGCGATTATGGATTACTTTTGATTCACCGGTGTTGTGAATTTGTGCATCTAATTTTATACCTATCGGCGGATGTTTTTGCTGAAAGTTTTGGAATGACATTTTCAAAAAAGCGTATCTCTCTTTCTCACGTAACTTCATCTGGAAACTTTCGTGTTTGTATACTAATCTCTTCAAACTGCATTGTACCGATGCGGAATTTACGTCCTGTTTTGTTGAGCTACGTGAGTAGACAACATTTGAAGAGTATCGCGCAAAATGACAGCTCTTTCCTCTGTCCTTATCAAAGTAGACAGGCGATGACGCTGAAACAAGGACATTTATTAAAGATAAAAGGACCGCTTAAACCCTAGTATGGCGAATTCGGGATAACTTACGTTGTCAGACTGAGATAAGGACTCGAGTCAACATAGTGTGTTAGGGGCTTATGCTTTTTAGCTGCGATTATGAAACTTCAGGCATGAAATGCCTGCAGATGCAAGCCCCGCCGAAGGAAATGGGCGGCGGCAACTTACCATTGAGTTGGTTAGAAGGCGGCGGAAGACTGTCTAGGGAGGGGAAGCGAGTGGAGATTGCACGCGCGATTTGCCAGAGATGGCCCGAGAAGCCGGGTTTTGGTCGTCTGGTTGAGAGACGACAGGCCTCAGAGGGATCCCCAGCGCCCATTTCGGATTTCGACCTGCAAAAAAGACACAATGATAAATTCTCAAGCTGCCTAAAGGCGGAGACGCTAACATGCGTCAACGAAACCCTTCACAATGTCATATACATACGCTACTTACTTTGTTTCAGTAACATGCATTATTTGTTAGGTGGGCAATAAAGCGAACCATTGGTGGAACGATCTTCCGTCCCCTCTTACGAATGCAATCTGCTGACAACACGGAGTGACAACTGTTGCGGATCACGTGATCACGCACAATTATGCACAAAACCCTCAGAGGCAGTTCATGTACTCTGCATTCACTTATGGAAAGCCGTCGCGCCCAGCAAAGACAGGCTAACAAACCTGCTCAAGATAAATTCTAAGTGCATGTCCAGCGCCAAGATCGCACTACGTTGCTTCGGCAAACATAATGTATTGACCAGAAGGTCCGAGCCAATGTCAAAATATGGGGTTTCGGAAGAGCTAAAATAGCGATGAGATAACTGATATGTAGAGAGAGGGAGAAATAGACAGTCGTCTCCATCTACAGACAGTGAGCGTCCTGTACAAATCATGATAGCCCATGGAGGACCACACAAAACAGTTGACGCCAAAGCACGACTGGTCAAAAACTAGCCTATGAGATGAAGAACTCTTCCCAGATTTCCATGAGCCTAGAATATTGGCAAACTAACTGTGAACTGTCCCAAAAGGGCGAGATGTGATGGATCCATTGTCCGGCTCCAATGCCGAATAGAACGCTTGGGCATAGCCGGTAACGGAGCTGAAATCTGTCAAACACCTGCCAATTTGAAGAGTTACGTTAAACGATAACGCGACGCACATTCGACAATAGGCAGTGCATTTAGCTTAGTAAGCAAGCAGCATAAACCGCGGCAACGCCACCGAGTTTTTCACGAGTGGATCAAATGAATTATTGAAATCTGCCAAAACCCCTCCTTGTAATTAAGTATGCCTTGTAGTCATCGGGTGGACCCAAGATTGATTGCTTAGGAAATTTTGTTTAGACAGCCCACTTGCTGTATTAGTATTAGGAAATTCCTTACGTCACTGTAGGCAGGGCGGGTAAATCGACCCGAATGCGATTCACCTCAGGGCCCACAGTGGGGGTCCCTCAGCCCAGCTGGCTAGAGCATTGGCTGTAATAAAGCCTTCTCGTTGCTGACATTAGTTCAAATCCCACCGAGATCATCGGGTCTTTCACAATTGGGTCAAGTGAAGTAGTAAACAGTCCAAATACAGATAGAAACCTTTAAATTGCACCTTTAATGCTTCAATCACCGGTACGGTCGAGAGGCCGATTATGAAATTAAAAAAAAGTTTTCTGCCAATACAAGCGAATATGCGAGTCAGGAAGTAATTGAGAAGAAGACGACTCGATCGAGCGATCGAGTCGTCTTCTTCTTCTTCTCAAAAAGTTTTCTGTCGACGTTTGTTATGGACTAAGGCCTATATACGGGTCCCGTGACACAACAGTGACCATCTGGTTTCCCAAATGACAAATAAAATCCTTGATGCAGATTTTCGCACAGTTCTGACGTCTGCGACTGACTTAACGAAAAGTCCCCTGTCGTCTTTCAAAAATCTGTGTGGCGAAGCGAACGTAAGTACTGAAAAGCAATCTGCCCGAGTACGCGATGGAATACGGCCGTTTCGTGTTAACTG